ATTTATTTATTTTTTTTCCCCCAAATTTTGTGAATACCATATATTTATACATATGCTGAAACCTTCCTCAATTGTACTAATACTCAGATGTAATATTATCCAATACCCTATTCAGACTACACTCTGTTGCGATCGGTTGCGATGTAATCGGTGGTAATCCAAAAGTGATTACTCCTGATCGCAATCAACGAACGCATTCAGACCAACACAAACAAACTTTACATTCTAGGGCCTAGGCCTCCGGACGTGGCAGGCCTGTTTTGACCGACCTCAGCCAAACAGTGCCTGTGGAATTCGTTGTGATTCGTTGCAATCGGATTCCGTGGTAATCGGGAGTAATAAAGGTTGTAGCACCCAATCGCAACGGGTAACAATTGCGATATCGATTACATATCGACTACTATTGGTGAGCTTTCACACACGATTTTACTTTGCGATTGGGTGTCGCAATTGCTACAACCGATCGCAATGCCATGCTAGTCTGAATGGGGTATTAATTTAGTCATGGAATAAATTTATTTCTCCATGGCTCAGAATTGTCAAACATTCAAAAGCATTAGGTTATCTATTCAAACAACATATTATATGAATGAAATATTTACCTTAAAATTCTGTGTTTTCAGTGAGTTACTATATGTGAATAGTCTGCAACCAGAGAGATATACTATAGTACTGTATGCTCCAACAGAAGTTGGTTCTTCAGGGTTTATCTTTGGTCTTGTGACTTGGTAGGGGTGGTTTCTTTGCTTATGCAATCAACAGTGAATGTGAACAAATTATGGAGAGACTTTGAACTGCTGTAAAGTGCTTAGTAGATTATTTTTCCCTGAGTAAATAATGTTACAAAGTCAGAGAATTAGTTTCATTATCATAGATAGATGACAATCCAAGTCAGTTTTTTTTAACTATGCTTTCATTTTCACAATTCATAACCACCAATCCCTTTCCCTCCCCATTCAGATATAACCCCCCCCCATTGGCAGAGGGTGCTCAACTAATTACTAATTGACAACAAATATTATGAATGTTTACAAATTGCAGACTCTAAAATAGATTAAATAAGTTTTTAAATCAGCGGCGTACCTCTAGAAGGCTTGAGATTTGGGAGAGAGATACGTGTTGAGAGCGTCTCAAGTTAGGGGAACTGCTTGCCAAATAAGGTGATATATGAGGTGGTTTTTAACTACTTGAGCATGATTATTTTATTGCAAAATTTTCAATGGAGATGATGGTGCCCCTGTGCACTCATATTGTATATGTCACTATTGTCGTGTTGGGGTCTATGTTTTACTCGCAAGAAAGGTTAGAACTTGAATTATACTCAGGTAGACTTTATGCAGTTCCTTGTTATGTTTTATTGTAAATCACAATCAAATATACAAAATGTGCTAACTCTATGGAGTCTCTCTTCTTGTTTTAAGTATTCTTCTGATCACTTTGTAATGTAAACGTAAAACGTTTCCTCTCTATCTTTCTATCTCTATCTCTGTTTTCTTCTCTGTCTCCTTTTCTAATAATTTCATTCTCTCATATATATATATACAGTATATACATATATAAGCTTACTGTATACTATTGTAGAACTTACCTGTTTCATTTTTTCAAGATGCACTATATCTATATATATTATATGCCTTATACAATACTATATATATCATTGTTTTGGCTTCCTGCTTCCATCATTATAACTATATTTTATTTGCCTTTCAATACTTTTATAGGCCCACATTTATTTAATTTACAATATTGCTTTGTATAATTTTGTATATATATATATATATATAATCTGCGTGGTTGGCTTAAACCAGATCATGTAGACAAGAGTGCTCAATGCAGTATGTCCTTTAATAGGTAGGGCTATCTTTATAGTTTCAATCAGAAAGGTGTTACCGATGAAATGATAAAGTTAGAAATGTTTTTAGGAAATGTTACGACCAAACTGCACTTAAGTTACAAGAGAGGAAAACGAGTACTGCAGTGATGAGTGTGGTCTCAAGTTTGATTCCAAGTATGAAGCATGCTACAGCTGTTTATCTTAATGTTCCCCAAGGGGGTATTACGTCCTAGCCAAGCCAAGCTACTAGTTAAACGATGCAGGTCACATTCAGTCTCTTCCTTGTGTGATAGGTGGCAGCATATAGGCTAAAATTGGTCTTGGTATATTTTCAGAATGCATATTTTTTCTATTGAATTATAGTGATGTGTTTGGAATGACATACACAAAAAATGACATAAAAACCACATTTGTTGCTCTATTTTCAAAATTGTTGGTGTTCCTGAGAGCTTATTGAATTCCCTGTCCCTTCATATTATGATTCTGACAATAATAACATAATAGGTGGCAGTATATATGCTAAAAATGTGAAAAAAAAATTTTTTTTAAATTTGTTTTGGTGGCCATTTTGAATACGTAATGAGGTCACATAACCTATAAAAAAATTAATTATCCACATTTTTTTTCTACTATGTGTCCTAATTAAGAAAATATATAATTGTCTTATGTTTAAAGCTATATATTAGAGCAGTATTATTATTTTCCTGAAAAGTGTCAATTTAATTTTTTTTAAATAGGGGATAGTACAGGTTATTAATATGAATCTGTGTGAAATTTAAAGCACTTTAATATTAATCTGTGTGAAATTTAAAGTACTCTAAAATATTATTCTGTGTGAAATTTATATCACTTTAATTTTTTAATCTATGTGAAATTTAAAACATTCTAATATGTTTTCTTGTTTTTACATTACTATTTTTTTCATCCATAGCCGGGTTTTGTTTTCGTCCTCAGCAAATCAAACAACGGCAGCAGAGTCCATACAAGAAGAAGAATAAGGAAGAGCTGGAAGCAAGAGGTGAAAAATTTACTAGATTACTTTTTCATTTGAAATGTATTTATTTAAATTTTCTTTATAATGTATTTTAATATCGAATCAATTGTAAGTGTTATACCAACATTTTACATCAAAAGCTAAATAGAAATTTCTGTCCTCATACAAAAAATAAAACAAATTGAATTTACTTCTTAAGCAAGAAGAAGCCTACTTTGTCAATTGGTATATTAATAAATCGTAAAGAGTATCTGGAACACCTAATAGATGACTTGTTAAACTCTTTTTTTAGTTCCTATGCATGTAATGCAATAGGAACTATTGTAATCACTCTGTCACATTTCTTTTGTTTTTTATTGTGTGTAGTATGTGTGTGCGTATGTGTGTAGACATTTATGCAAATGCGCATGCGTCAAAGAAAAGTTTTCCGACATTTTGTTTTACATCGCGATGCGAAGTTCGATGTGGATTTTCTGCAGAATTCAGTCAGGGCTCACGCTAACCGATCGGCAAGTCGGCATGCATGAAACTATTTTGGTTTTACGGCAAAAAAAAAATCAACTGCTGTGGCATAGGTATTTTGAAGAAGGCCTAAAATAAAACAAAAAGATTTTAATACTTGCTAAAATACATCGTTTTTTCATTTAGACCTCCATTTTTCACTAACTCCATGCGAAGTTTTTTTTTCTGTTGTATGAGTAGTCCATAGAGCTATTAAACAACAAGAGTGTTGACAAGATGGCGCAGCACTGCAGAGTTATGTATGCGTACCATCCAAGATGGCCGTCGTAGTAAAGCGCCACCTTCAGGCTTAGTATACATATTATTACATATTAATAAGCCCTCTGACTGACTATTATTTCATTAATGATAATGAGTAATGGTAATAACAAATTATTAAACTATTGTAGCCAAAACGAGGCCAAGTGGAGCATCTTATTCAAAAATAAAGTACCAAGGAATGAAAATTAAAATCGTGTACATTACACCCAAACACCGCAACGCTCGAGTTTCAAACATACGGGTAGCTGTACTGAATCCTCTGAGTAAATTGAGGGCGCAATTGCAAACGATGGTGCTTAGCGAAATTTGATTGGCTAAATCTATGGCAGCCATCTTGGATGGTACCCATGCAGTTCTGCGTATTTCGAATATCGAATACATTGCGGTTAGCGCTCTAGTATTCTTATTATTATCTTTATGGAGTAGTCATATGAAGGTACCATATCCCCGACAGTTGGCTATGCAACAATATACCCTTTGAATACAAATTGAAGACAAGTGAAGATATAAAGGCAGCCGACTGTCGGGTACATAACGACTATATAACTTTCCACAAAAACATTAGGCCTAAGCTAGGCCTAGTTCAGTACAGTAGTTAGAGGGACTTTTAGATTTGCACGTCGACATAGTGGACTGCTACGTGATGAGGTCATTTTAAGGCACTGCGCATGCGTTACGTCGTCTCCCTCGTCCACTACCAAAATCGAGAACGTGTTCACCTCGTTTTTCCCGTCGTCCTAAATCTAGGACGCCGTGCTCGCTTGTGAAGTTTAAAGATGGAAGATGAAAATATAGCGGCAATGCTGCCTTCACTAGTTCGTCCAACTGAGGCAGAGACAGAGTCTGGGGGAAGTTTCTAACTTGTGTTGAATTAATCTGTATTATTTGCTTTTTAATGCACATGCAGTTATGTAATTTCTACTGCCTTCGTAAACACAAAAAAGGCTGTGGAAGTTCATGAGCGTGCTTACGCCAGTGTGCATGCAATGCAAACTTGCACCGCAGCGAGCGCAGCCGGCCGGGGAGGCCTG